CCTCCCTCCCTCCTGCCCTCCTTTCCTTCCTTCCCTCCCTCCTTCCCTCCTTTGTCAGATGCTGTGTGTGGTCCTGTGCTGGGATCTGGGGGCAGAGACAAGAGCTGTGGCCTAAAAAGAGGGGAGTGGGGAGACAAGGGTGCTCATGTAGACAGCCAACCAGGCTGCTACACCTGCCTTTGCAGCAGAGCGCGGGAGTGTGGTAGGAATTTGTCATGTCAGAGGGGACAGCAGAGCTGGGGTGCAACAGAGGAGCAGCAGCTTTCCAGGTAGTTAAGGCAGGAAGCAGTGTGGTCCAGAAAGAAGAGATGACGGGTGCCAGTCCACAGCGACAGTGAGCAGAGGCCCGGGCGCTTGGCAGGTGGGTTCACATCTTGTATCTGCCTGTTTCTTGGCTGAGTGACTTTGGGCAAGTTGCTTAATTGCTGAGTCTCACTTTGCTTCATCAGCACAAGAATAAAAATGCCCATCTCTCGGAGCAGTTGTGATGATAACTAAGGTAATGTCTTTAGAGTCTGTGCACTACAAAACCCAGCTGTCCTTCTAGAGGGGCCACTGCCGTGACTTCGTGGGGACATTTCCATGGGGAGCCACAAGAGGTTTCACTGGACAGGTGTGTATGTCCAGTGTTTAGGAGGCGCTCTTGAAGCAGATCTGTTGCCCTCAGGAGGTCCTCTAAGTACACACATGACTTTGCCATGAAGAGGGAAATTATAAGCTAGTGTATTCAAAACAGGAGCAGCCCTTGTAAGCAAAGCTGTTCCATTACAGCCAAGTCATGTACATCTCAGCTCCAAAAGAGAAAGTGACCATTCTCACTGAATCCTCCTGGCAACAACCTTGGGACTGGCTGAGATAAGACACTCCACTTTCAGGGTGCACCCTGACTGTTCACTCATCCCCTGGATGCCCATCTCCTTCCCTCACCCTGACCGGCATTTTCAGCCATATACCCTCCGCTGGCCTCTGCCCCCAGCCTCGGGGCTTTTGCTATGGCTGTGCCATCCATCTGGCCTATCGGACCCATTTGCTCACAGCATCTCACTGTTTGTAATAATTTGTTTCCCGCTTTCCTTGTCTTCTGTCTGTCTTCTCCCACAGGGCTGAGAGCTCCAGAAGGAACCAAGGACAGGGAGCCTGTCTCTTCCAGCCCTGGTGCCCAGAAGAGCCAGGCTCATAGGAGGTCTGCAAGAAACGTTTCTGAACGAACTGATGAAAGGTAGGTCTTTTTATACCCATTTCATGAGTGAGGAAACTGAGGCAGAGAGCGACAGACGCACACACCCATAGAGAGAGAAGGTGAGAGAGAGAGAGAGAGAGAGAGAGAGAGAGAGAGAGAGAAAGCGCAGCTCTAGCTTGCCTACGTGCAGGGTTGAGGTGGGTGTGAGAGAGATGTGTGGGCAGGGCTGTAGCTCCGGGTGTCCCTTAGGGGCCCAAGATGCATCTCCCGGGCGAGCGCTGGGGTCCCGGGGCGGGCCGGCGGCTGGAGCTTCTTCGTGGGCGGGCGCAAGGGGCAGGCTGGGCGGGCGCAGGCGGGAGCCTAGCAGACGGCTCTGCTCCGCACGCCGGCAGCATCGAGGCAGCAGCAGGTGAAGCAGGGCGGCTCTGCCAGGCGCCTGGTGTCTCCTGGGGACAGGAGTGCGGCCGGGGGCGGGGACCGAGTGGGTCCTGTGCGAACCCTCGGGGAAGCCGGGCGCCCTACCTGCTCTTGGCCCCGCGCAGAGCGTCACACTGGATCTGGGGAGCATCCTGCCCCACTGTGGACCTCAGTCTCCTCACCTGAGACATGGGCGGCCCCACCCTCACCCTGTAAGCTGTGAACCTAGGAGGTAAGGGGTGCATCTGAGGTGTCTGGGCGCTGTGGGCATTAGGTGATAGCAGCTTTTGCTGAGATTTCAGGAGACAAAGCAAAAGGCCTTCCCTATTCTAACCCCACTGGAGATTAGCATTGTTTGTGTGATTCATTCATTTTCCTGCGATTGCTTGGGAAGGCAGGCTGCAGGGGGGTCCCTGCTGGGGCTTGCAGCTGGCTCTAGTTTTTGATCTGGAGAGCTGCCTGGAGACAAAACACAGAGACACCATTTTACTGACCTTGTGTAACAATCCACCCTTCCCCTCCTAGACTCACCACCCTCTTGGGTGTGCCTGAGGCCCCTGAGGTCCCTGGTCCTCACTGGTCAGTGTACCCTAAGCCCAGCAGCCCCAGGCAGATGCCAATCACCACCTTTTTCAGTGCTCCTCCTCCTGTCTTGGCCCTCTACTCCAATCCATTTTCTATATCCAAATGATCTTTCTGGAATGTTCTCAGGCTTGCTGGTCTGGCCCACTACTCCAGCCTCATCATCTGCCACCCTGGCATCAGTTATTCTGCTTACTTTTCCCAGCAGGCTCTGCTCCTTCCTGCCTCTGTGCCTTTGCGCATGCTGTTCCTTGCACCTCGAGTTCCCTCCTCTCCCTGTCCTTTTGGCTGGTTGACTCCTCTTCAGCCTTTGAGCCCTGCATATTTGCCACCTCTTCTCTCGCCTCCCTGCTCCCTGCTCCTTCCATGATCTCTCAACTCACAGACCTCTCATTCATATTGATGTTGGCAATGGCAATGAGTTCTATCTGCCTTTGTGCTGGTCAGCCCCTCTGGTCTGGGAGGGCCATGGCTGTGTAAGTCATCTTTGCAGCCCTTGTTTCTAGCTCAGGGCTTGACACACATTTATTGAGTGGGTGAATGAAGCAGTGAGCATTTTCTGCAGCCCTCGCTGCCCAGTACTTCCACTCTGATCATGCTGTAGGTAGTCATTTTTTCTCCACACTGCTGGCTGAGCCCTGCTGACGGTCACCCAGAGCCTTGGGTTCTGGCCTATTTGCTGCTTCTGAGTGCAGTGCATCTGCCACAGGTTCATGCAGCCGGGGCTGCTCTTTGTCTTATACTGGGCCTGGTGTTTGGCGCTGGAATAGTTTGTCATGTTCAGCCCCAAGTAGACGTTTTTGTCAGAAGACTGTAGTGCCAGAGAAATCTCCCTGCCTTTAAGGTCTGGTGTCCTAAATAACCAGACTGTAAACTATGAGGTGAATTTGCAGCTTGATCTTGTAAATGACTAAATGAGACTCTTTTTTTTTTGGGGGGGGGGACTGAGTCTCACTCTGTTGCCCAGGCTGGAGTGCAGTGCAGTGGTATACTCTGTGCTTACTGCAACCTCCGCCTCCCAGGTTCAAGTGATTCCCCTGTCTCAGCCTCCCAAGTAGCTGGGACTACAGGCATGTGCCACCAGACTTGGCTAATTTTTGTATTTTTAGTGGAAACAGGATTTCAGCATGTTGGCCAGGCTGGTGTTGAACTCCTGACCTCAGAGACTCATCTTTATAAGTAGATCAAATGCACAGTGAGTGACATTCATGACAGTTGACAAATAAGAGTTTACTGAGCTGACTGATTTTGGCCTTACTTTGTAAAAACTGCCTTAATGTAGCAATTGATCATGAAGAAAATATGTATGCTCAGAAATACATATGGCCATTACATGAGACCATATCTCAAATAGGGTTTTCTGCTATGAATAGTGTTTCACAGGATGGGGCCTATGGGCCATGTTCATCAGAATCATGTAGTCTACTTATGAAATACAGATTCTTGGGCCCCATCCTGTACTCACTGAACTACATCGCCTGGTGGAAGGGCCCTGGGATCTGTGCTTTCAATATACTTCTAGAGTGACTCTGATGTTTACTGAAGTTTGAGAACTGCAAACCTGTGGGATTAATAATGACTTGAGAATCTGAGAGATGTCACAATGATGTGGGTAGAGGTATGGTGGTTCCCGTGTAAAATATCCATCATTGGTACTACCACGGGGGAACTCTGGAGTCTAAATTCCAGCTCAGTCTTTAGCAGGGGATCCATCGTGCTGAGGAGGTCCTCAGAAAGGAACAGGCTCTCCCAGGACATGGAGATGTGAAGCAGTCCGGTGTTCTTGTGAGCTGCACACTGCATCAGGTGACTTGAACACAGTCATAAAGTGGGTTCTGGGGAGGGCACTGGACACCTGTGACTTTGGCCAGGTGTGTCTGCACATGGTGGCTGGTAGGAGGAAGCTGCTGTGCTGACGAGCCAGTCTTTGCATACTGGGCAGTGTTCAACTTTGCCAGGTATCACCTAAAAAACAAGGCTGGTGGGGCAGGAAGGGGCTGAGACTAGGAGGGTGCACTAAGTGTGGATCCCTGAGGTTTTGGTTCTGTCTCGAAGGAAATAGGGTGCCGTGGAAGAACACAAGCAGTCCTGGTCAGAGCGGCATTTATTGCTGTCTTCATTCAAGTAAAATGTGACAAGGGGCTTTCTACCCATGTTCCCTAAGCAGCTCCATCGCTAAACTCTGCATACAACACTCCACCTTCTTTTTCATCAGGACAGCCTCAAATCCCGAGGCTGGAGGGAATTGGTAGAACAAGTTCTGGCATCAGACGGCCTGAGTTTGTAACTGGCCCTGTTACTTATTAGTTGTGTGACTATGGGCAAGTTGCTTCTGTCTTGGAGTCTTAGATTCCTCATCTATGAAATGGATTGATAATACCTACCTCTGGGAATAAACTAGCTAACAGACGAAAGCCCTGAGCACAGTCCCCAGCATGCAACAAGTGCTTCTAACAGGGTGGCAATCACTGGATGCCAGTGTCTTACTGTGAGCCGTAGGTAATAGCTCCTCCAGGTACCAGCCTTGGGACAGAAGCAGCTGAGAGCCTTTCTACCTGGCCCTGCTCCTCCCTGGATTCTACCCTGGGCATGATCTCTGAGTATTGTTTGTCTGTTTGTCTTACAGGCATCATTCCTGAAGTGTATCGCTTAGTTCGAGTCTTGGAATCTTTTCACATCCACCATGAACACCTCTCACCTCCTGGCCTTGCTGCTCACAGGGTCCCCACAGGGTGACAACAGAAGCAAGTCCCCAGACGTCCCATACAACTTCTCTGATCATTGCCAGGATTCCGTGGATGTGATGATCTTCATCGTGACTTCCTACAGCATTGAGACCATCGTGGGGGTCCTGGGCAACCTCTGCCTGATGTGTGTGACTGTGAGGCAGAAGGAGAAGGCCAACGTGACCAACCTGCTCATTGCCAATCTGGCCTTCTCTGACTTCCTCATGTGCCTCCTCTGCCAGCCGCTGACCGCCATCTACACCATCATGGACTACTGGATCTTCGGAGAGACCCTCTGCAAGATGTCGGCCTTTATCCAGTGCATGTCGGTGACGGTCTCCATCCTCTCGCTCGTCCTCGTGGCCCTGGAGCGGCATCAGCTCATCATCAACCCAACAGGCTGGAAGCCCAGCATCTCGCAGGCCTACCTGGGGATTGTGCTCATCTGGGTCATTGCCTGCGTCCTCTCCTTGCCCTTCCTGGCCAACAGCGTCCTGGAGGATGTCTTCCACAGGAACCACTCCAAGGCTCTGGAGTTCCTGGCGGATAAGGTGGTCTGTACCGAGTCCTGGCCACTGGCTCACCACCGCACCATCTACACCACCTTCCTGCTCCTCTTCCAGTACTGCCTCCCGCTGGCCTTCATCCTGGTCTGTTATGCACGCATCTACCGCCGCCTGCAGAGGCAGGGGCGTGTGTTCCACAAGGGCACCTACAGCTTGCGAGCTGGGCAGATGAAGCGGGTCAATGGGGTGCTGGTGGCGATGGTGGTGGCCTTCGCCGTGCTCTGGCTGCCTCTGCATGTGTTCAACAGCCTGGAGGACTGGCACCATGAGGCCATCCCCATCTGCCATGGCAACCTCATCTTCTTGGTGTGCCACTTGCTTGCCATGGCCTCCACCTGCGTCAACCCATTCATCTATGGCTTCCTCAACACCAACTTCAAGAAAGAGATTAAGGCCCTGGTGCTGACTTGCCAGCAGAGTGCCCCCACAGAGGAGCTGGAGCATCTTCCCCTGTCCACAGTGCACACGGAAGTCTCCAAAGGGTCCCTGAGGCTAAGTGGCAGGTCCAACCCCATTTAACCAGGTCTAGGGCTTCTCCCTGCCCTGTCCCTTGCCTTTCACTTAGCTAAGTGGGAACACTGCAGGCTGGGGTGGCACCCAGCATTCCTGGCTTTCTGTGGCCTAGATAGGCTGGCAAGAGCTGTTTTTGCATCCATTTGCATCACGAGGACTGGCATTCTGATGCTTCAGCTGTTTGTTCCTGGGAGAATTCTAAGCACAGATTCCAGAGGTCACAGTAAGCCTTGCAGCTTGAGTTGAAAGATGCCAGAGCCGGAGATGTCTGCTGGTAGCAGGCAGGGTTCATTCTGGTGACACAGTAACAGATGCCTGGCCTGGGAACCCAGGGATTTCACCTCCACCAGTGAGACCACAAGGCCACTGTGAGGGGAGAGAAGGTGCTCTTGGAGTCAGAGCTCTGGACCTGAGTCACTCCTCGCCTCTGTGAGAGATGGTGCTTCAGAAGTGGTAAAGAATTCTGCATATGCAAAGCAGAGGGATTACTGTCATATCGCTAGAGCATCCAGCTGAAGAGAATGGATCCGGTAGTCTTGGGTCACAGCCTTCTGCAGCAGGAATTCTAGGACTCACTTCCTACTCCATCCCTTTTCTCTATCACTGTGTCTTCCGTCTTACATGGAAAGCAGCCTGCAAGTTCCCCTCCTCGATGAGATTCGAGCACCTTGCAGGGGAAATCCATATCATCATGGAGCTTGTGTCCTACATGCCATGAACAGGCCCTGGCACAGGGAGAGAGCTCCAGGGGGTTTTCTATGGTGGGTTGATGGTAAAGGTGCCACTCACTGCTGAATGTTTGGTGCTGGACAGGAGTCCAGAATGGGAAGGGGCCAGGGCTCAGGCTGCTATAGCCAGTCTCCTGCCTGCCTTTCCTTGCCTCTGAGGACCTCATTTGATATGGCAACTGGACTGAGACTTTGTGGCTCTCCCCATTGTTGACCCACTACAGAGGCCTCCAGAATTCAAGGCCAAGGCTGCAGCCTCCTTCACTCCATGTTCTGATCACTGAGCTGACTTGCCCCAGATAATGTGCCACGAATCTTCCAAAGTTTCCCCAGAATATTGGGCATCCCAGTGGCCTTCAGTAGGATCAGGGCAGGGAGTCCTGGGAGTCTGACTTCATGGGGCACTGGCTGAAAAAAGCAGGGGTCCCCTTCCTCCAGCCAGCCAGGGTAAAAAGAGAAAGGGCTCCAATGAGTGTGAATATCTTACCTTGGGGGTTACGGCCCAGTCCTCTGGATGCTGAACCAGGCCCAAGGCTTTATCTGTGTGCGGACCAGACAGCCTGTCCTTGCAGGGAAGGAAAGGTCAAGACTGCTCCTGGGCTGCCTTGGATGGGATGTCTCTGCATGGCTCTGTTGGCTCAGACCCGCCCTCCAGCAGAATGGACAGTGGCTGGCCAACTATATCTTGCCAGGGCAGGGTGTTCATGTGCTGGAACCCTGGAGGGGCCCCGTTGTGAGGTGGCATTGGTTCTGCACAGGGGGTCTGGCATAGGGCTCTCACCCCTGACCAAGAACCCGTGTAGCTGTCACCCAAGACAAGTGCTCTTTGAGCCAGAAGCTCCCTTCCTGGAGCTGTTTAGCTTATTCCTTCTTTTGGTCACATTTCCCATTCAGTTCCTTTGTTCATTTTTGTGTTGGATTTTGGGCAGATTTCTTGAGCCATGCCCTTGGATACAGTTTGTGCTTGTTCTGTTGTGCCATCTGCTGCTGGTTTCTGCAGGGGACCACCTGCCCAAAATAGATGGGTCCTGGAGCAAAGCCCAGGCTCTGGGACTCATCTATTTTGTAAAAAGTCCACATGTGCAAAGTCACCCCCAAATGCGAGAGGAGCCAAGAGGCTAAAGAAGGAAGCAGACAAATCCAGTTTGTTAGTATTGGGTGATTATTTATTTGTTTATTTTTGAGACGGAGTGTCGCTCTGTCACCCAGGTTAGAGTGCCGTGGCACGATCTTGGCTCACTGCGAATTCTACCTCCCACGTTCAAGCGATTCTCCAGCCTGAGCCCCCTGAGTAGCTGAGACTACAGGTGCGCACCACTGCATCCAGCTAATTTTTGTATTTTTAGTAAAGGTGGGTTTCACCATGTTGGCCAGGCTGGTCTTGAACTCCTGATCTCAGGTGAACCACCCACCTCAGCCTCCCAAAGTGCTGGGATTACAGGTGTGAGCCCCCACGCCCGGCCAGTATTGGGTGATTTATTGAGGGAAGTTACAGGCAGAAGGGTGGTCTTGGGTCTTCACTGTTACTCTCGGACCCAAGGCTTATATACCATAGAAAAGGATATATGTGCTCCAGCAAGACAATGAATGGCAGCGTGCCACAGCAGTCAAGAATCCCATGTGGACCATAACCCAGAATTTGCATGATAATGTCAAGCTTGCCTTTATCTAAAAGCAGGAGTACATATTCTTATACTCAGGACAGTAAATAAAGTAGGAGTCAGGAGGCATTTGTGGGACTGGGGCTAATCAGAAGTCAACATGGCAAATCCATCTTGGGATGGAGTCACTTTTGTCTTCACATCCTCCCAGAAAGATGTCATTGTCCAAGCTTCCCAAGGAATTGGGGGCCTCAGGCCCCCCTGGATCCCATCCCATACAAGTGCCTGGAGCTTCTTCTTATTATTAGTCTCGATGATGCTAAGAAGCTGGCGACAAAGATGATTTCGGGTGCAGACATGCTTGAGGATGGAGGGCCAGGCCAGGCACCTGGGGAAGGTGCTTGGTGCTAGGAATTGGGTAGAAGCCTCATTGAGTGTCATCTGTGCCCCAGCATCATCTGGAGCTTGTAGGTATGTAGGGTCCTTGTTGCCAGCCCAGCTCGATTTAATCTGAATCCACATTTTATCAGGATCCCAGGTTAATTGATGCACATTAAAGTTTGAGAAGCTCTGCTCTAAGAAATGGATTGCCCTGGAGCCTAGAGTCACTGGATAAGCAACTGTAGACACCCATCCTAGTTCTGGAAACATCGCTAAAATTGTTATTACTGGAAAGGTGCATTCAATTTTGGTTGTCTGTCTCATCTCTGGCTGCATGTGGTCATATTTCTTGTGAGACCTTTATATTCTTTTGATAAATATTTGCCATATGCATAGTTTCCATAGATATCTTCATAGTGAACATGCCTTTTTGTATTCTGCTCTATTTCACTTAAAACTATATCAACAGTTTTTCTTTTTATCTTGCTAGATATCATTTTTTTTGAGACAGAGTTTCACTCTTGCTGCCAAGGCTGAAGTACAATGGCGTGATCTCAGCTCACCGCAACCTCTGCCTCCCAGGTTCAAACAATTCACCTATCTCAGCCCCCTGAGTATCTGGGATTACAGGCACCTGCCACCATGCCCAGTTAATTTTTTTTTTTTTTTGTATTTTTAGTAGAAATAAGGTTTCACTATATTGGCCAGGCTGGTCTCAAACTCCTGACCTCAGATGATCTGCCCACCTCTGCCTCCTAAAATGCTGTGATTATAGGTGTGAGCTACTGTGCCCAGCCTAAATGTCATTTTTGATGGCTGCTTATGAGTGTAGAAACTGCCCCAATGAAAGGCAGCACCTCTCAATATCTCTAGCTCCCGGGGTGTTGGGGGGGGCATCTTTAGCCAGCAGGTGGACCCTCTGCAATTCATTGTGGGAGGAACCCATTTTACAGAGGAGAATCATGACTGGAATTGGAGATTCACACCACAAAGACTGACTGGGAACCCTCAGAGGGTGCAAAACCTTATCACACCCTGGCTGTGAGTACTAAAATCCTGCCTAATGCTAGTCTTTCCTTTCTAAAGTATTGATGTGGCCTTTTTTTTTCATTATAAATGTAGTCATATTCATTCTGAAAGATATGCAATATACACAAAAATAAAATGAAAAAAATTATCAGGAGTTCTACCACTCAAACATAATCACTGTTTACATTTTGGGGAATCATTTAAAAAGTTTTTATATGCATAGTCATATATACATATGTCTGTTTTTAAAAAAAATGTTTGAGATTATAGTGTGTCCATATGGGTACTTATATATTATATTTAAGGATTGTTTTATATCTTTTTTGTTTAACCTCATAGGAATTTTTATTCACTTGTTTATTCATTAAACAAATATGTCCGACACGATGCTAGCTGTGGGGATGCAGTGGTTAGTAATCAGACATTGTCCCTGTTCTGCGGAATTTAGAGTCCACTGATAGATATGTCCCTTATCCTTAATCACCATCTGTTGTGGCATTCTGAGCTGTTTCTAGACCTGTGGCATAGAGTTTTATGATGAACGTCTATGCAAAGAACCTTTTCTATGTTTGGAATTATTTCCTTAGGAGAGATTTCCAGAGGTGGAATTAACAAAGGGCATGGACATTTCTCAAGGCTCTTGATGTGTACTGCAAAACTGATTTCCAAAAAAGGGCTGGAACAATTTGCACTCCCTGAAGAGTGCTCATTTCACTGTACCCTGGCAACTGTTGGGGATTTACCACTAACCAAAGGACTTTGACCTGAATCGCCTGGACTGGAGGGTGTCCCCGCTCCTGCCTCCAGGTCCAGCAAGCACTGGGGGCACTGACCTTTGTAATGTTAGCTTGACCCTGTCCCTCTGTGAAACCTTTGGGGGCTCCACACAGCCTTTAGGGTTGCGGGACTATATAACTTATCCAAACAGGGACACTTGAGTATGAAAGGGGTTGCCATGAATAATCACACTGGGACAACAGGCAAAATCACCCTGGGAAATGGGAACATGAGGTCATCCTACTATAAATAAACCCGATCCCTTTAACATAGCTTGAATTCAACCCTCTGCACCAGCTGGCCCCAGCTTACCTTTCCAATCTCTGTGCATCCTGACATATCACATGATCCGGTCATAGTGGGCCTACAATTACCAACCCTGTGTTGGGTGTCACTGTCTCTGTACATCTGCTCCTGCCATTCCCTCCTCCTGCCTCCACCCACTCCACCCCCCGCCAGGCTGCAATGCCCCCTTGCCCTTCTGTGTAGGTCCAAATCCTACCCTTGCTTCAAAACACACATTAAATAGTACCATTCAATACTGCTTTCATTCAACAAACATATACTGACTGCTTATGATGTGTGAGGCACATAGGCACAAGACCAAAAACATCCCGCCTCCTGTGGAACTTTAATTTGTGTGTGCAACTGTGACAAATGGTCCTAAATATGGACACAAAATGGTGTGTCGGAGAGTCTGCCCTGTTATGATTTTGAATAGACACACTCACCACCCCACAAGGTTGTGAGCTCCTTGAGGGCAAAATACAAAAGGCTCATCCTTCACCCCCGCAAAAGCACTGACACACCCTTGGATAGAGCAGGCCCTCAAGCATTTGCCAAGTGAAGAATTAATACGAAAAAAGCTTACCTATTCAGTCTGCAAGAGTTTTCTAACAACCAACTTGGGGTTCTCCATTAATCTGAGATAAAGGGAAGCCTAAGTTGCCACAAACCTTAGAGAAACACCCCCAGGCCCTACCACTGTGACCCTTGTTCCACCCTGATGCTGGAAGAAACCGAAGTCACGGGATTC